GATCCCCATGGCTGTGGGTGGATCTCTGTATCCCCCATGGATCCCCATGGGCTGCAGGGGCACAGCTCCCTCACTGTGGTCACCATGGCCTGCAGAGGAATCTCAGCTCCGGTACCTGGAGCACCTCCTGCCCCTCCTTCTCCACTTACCTTGGTGTCTGCACATTGTTTCCCTCACATGTTCTCACCTCCTCCTCTCTGGCTAAGAAAAACTGTGCGTGCCCCACTTGGTTTTCATTTTCTTCCTAAATCTGTTATCACAGAGGTGTTACCATTGTATGTAATTGGCCCAGCCTTGGCCAGCAGCACGTCCATCTTCAGAGCCATCAGGGATTGGCTCTGCCAGACATGGTGGAAGCTTCCAGCAGCTTCTCACCTCCTTAGCCTGCCTGCTACCAAAAGCCAGACTGTGCAAAACCAACAGAACTTAGCTTGTTCAGATGGGATGTTCCTCTTCTGAGAATTCTCTTCTAAAATCGTTCTTCTTGACACGTACTAGCTGTGAGACATTTGCTGGAACACTCAGCAGTGTATCACACAGAGTTACAGGTGGTGTTTTGCTGTGAACTAATCCTTCATGGACAGTGGCATCTAAAACCTCTTATTTCTCACATCACAAGATAAGAAATGAAGAAACAGGAAGAAACATGTGAATTAAGTGGTTTCCTGTAATGTACTGTCTGTAATGCAGTTTTAAATTTAGTGCAAGCAAGTGTAAGTATGAAATTGGCTTTTATGACAAAGCTTATGGTGTTCCCCATAAGCAGCAGTTATCTGGTGACTAACAGAGCTGAATCCAAAGAGCCCTGAATGGATCTTTTTTAGTATCTGTGGTTGCATAATTTTGCCTTGCATATAGGGAAGTCCCCATGTTAAAATAATAAGAAACCGAATGTAAATGACCATTTCCTATTGCACAGCTGCAGGTGCCACGCCCAAGTTCCAGGGGAGGGCTATGCTTAATATTTAATGTTTTTAATGCAGCCAGAGCAAGCTTTTGTCCTTACGAGGTTACAAAGGCATTGGGTTGATCCTGTGCCAGGGTTTGCTGCTGCTGGTCAGTGGGGAGAGCCCCTGTTGTGGTTTGGGGCTGCTCCTGCCAGGGTCAGGGGACAGGGATGCTGCCTCTCTCTGAGGCATCTCTGCTCCTGGCTGAGTGTGGGGCTGGGTTTGCTCTAACCCCCAGCTCAGCTGGCCTGCTGGGGACGTCAGTTGTGCTTGGGCACAGGATTCTGGAGGGGATGGAGCACAGATTCAGGGATGGAGCTGAGTGTTCACAGCTGGAGCTGGACTCCTCCAGGGATCCTGTGGAGAGCACGGCCTGGCTCTGTCAGGTGACAGCCCACCTCTGGTGTCCACTGTCATTGAGGGTGCCCTTGGGTTACAAAAGCACTTCTGGGTACACCTTTGCTTGCAAGCAGTGTGGAATTGATCCCTGCAGCTCTTACATCCCTTCAGGTCTTTCTGCTCAGGGCTGAGGATGGAGAAGGACATGAAGGCAGCTGGTGCACTGGCATTTCAGAACAGCTTAGCAAGGGACTCTCCTGCTCTCCCAGCAGGACACAGGGATCTGTCTCCAGCCCACTCTGAGGTTTTCCCATGCCTGGGGTTCTC